AATAGTCATTAATATGTGTGAATGCGTTCAAGTTTTCCCCACAGTGTTCTAAAAGTAATAAATTGCATTTACAGATTCACGTAGACACTTAAACAACTGCTTCCTTTTGGATTCTATGCCATGTGGAAACATGCAAATGAAATAATGTTCACTTGAATAAACACCCATGTCAAATCTCTGTACAGGAAGACAGGAAGAAAGTATGAAGAATTTCGACCTCAAGGATCTGGCATCTGGGAGACAGCCAGCATGCATGGGTGAGGATAGATGCAAAAGCTGTTGGCAACCTTTCATATTTTTGTTTTAACATAATGTCTGGGTTAAAAAAGGGAATAATCTAAAGGTGTTTGCACTATCAAAGTATCCATATCGGTCTTTTTTTCGTGAAAATGTTATTGTTTTTTTTCCATTACAAATAAGTTATAGCTAAAAATTGGCAGAAATGTTGTTCGGCAGCAACATGTGTTTGGTTCCCAGGTGTTATTTCAGATTTTAAGATATCCCCTCTCCCTACCAACGCTTCACCAGACGCCTTCACTGTCACACCGTGACATAGTGGCAACTGTGTAGCTTTGCGTTTCTTTTCAACAATTTGTTTCCAATAATTTTCCAAATTGATCTTCAAAACTGACCATTTTAACAATTGTGTGATTATATAGATGAAGGATGAGCAGTTGTCGTTCATTTTAAATCGTTTTTGTACACTTTTTTTTTTTACAATTAGGACACTAAATATTGAGGTCCAGAATCAATTTGGATATATGCAAACAAATAAAGCATATACTAGCACTCAAAATCCCCTCTAGTCTCCAATAATCCTCTTTGTCTGCTAAGATTTTTAGTTAAGGGAGAATATAACCTTTTTTCCCACCCAGTTTTAAGTTTTAAACTAGTAGACAGTCTTGATAAAGACTCAAGTTGTCACGTCTGGTGTCTCGTCATGTCATGATTACCTATTGTGTACACCTGGGGTTCCCTTCCCTCATGTGTTTAAATAGTCCTCGTTTCCCCTTGTCTTGTGCCAGTGCGTTTTCGTCTCTTGTCTGTTTCGTCACCCCCACGCCAGGTTTGTTTTCGTCATAGTTCTGCCATAGTCACAGTTTTGTCACAGTCTTGTTAATCTTTATTTTGTTACTTTGTCATAGTTTTCCCACAGTCTTGTTTGCTCTGCTTTGATACTTTGATCACAGTTTTCCACAGCTTTGCTTTGCACTTTGTCTGGACTCTGGTTTTGTTATAATAAACCTTGTTCCCCTCATTCCGCGACTGAGTCCTCCCTCCAAGAACCCACCTACATGACACAAGTGACATAAAATTTGATCCAGTATCACTGTAAAGTTCCCCTGTTACGTCCCCTGCTCCACCAATGGAATGGATGGGGAGAACTTGGCACCCTTAATAAAGTGGAGTCTTTATAAAGTGCAAAAAATAAGGTTTATTGGTCTCCAATAAAGACAAAGAAGGCTCCACAACTGTGGGGGAGAAGGGGGCTGTTAGGTTGTGCCAAATCAAAGAAATCAGCTAAACAAAATAGGGCCTAACTAACAGCACCTCTGAAAGAAAGCAAAAGAAAACCCTGCTACTCTGAGCTAACAAAGATTAATAATAATACAAGAGTGGCACCAACCTACTTACCTAGGGTATCTAACAGAAATTGATGAAGGTGTCCAGGGTACCCTAACTTACCTAGCCCACAATCTCCCACCACAAACTTTCAACCAAGCTGTCACAATGGTAATCCAGCCTCTCAAAGAAATGCCAGTCCTGCCAGCAATATGCCACCCTTTGGCCTCCAGGCGAGCTGCTTACATACTGCTTGGCCACCTCCTGCCCACTCAGGGTAAGTGTTCCCAGCTGCCAGCTACCTGGGAAGGAAAAAAAATGGAGGGGGAGGAAAACAAAAACAGTCTGCCTGGACATGTAACAAGGAATTACAGTATTTTTATAATAAATCAGCACTAACCCCATCACAGTGTTTCCTAATGATCTCTTCTCTTCTACTAAATCAGACACTATTAGTATGCTATGCTATATATAAATAGATTTATATAAAATAAAATAATATATGTGTATATATCCGTGACCCCATCAGGGAATAAGCGGTATTGATAATGGATGGATGATGTATATATATTGGTAAATTCTTTCTCAGAAGGAGTAATATTTTGGTCATCCCATTTTACTTCCTCTCAGGAGTTTAAACTGAAAACTCTTTCAGTTTACCTAAGGTGGAGTTAATCATTTGATCTCTAAAACAGGCTTTCATGCCATTTTGTTTTTCCAATACTAATACATGACTCTGCTTAACATTCAGAGATTTTGAGCTATGGTTGGAAACTTGGTCCAGTGAGATATACCTTGAATGAGTCCATCAGCAACAGAAGGATACTGAAGGACTGAGATGAACAGGTGGAGACAGCTGAAAATCCTGAATTGTCTTGTGTCTCCTACTTTGCCATTTGTAAATATTTTGTATTATGGAATGTATGGTTATCATGCGTATCCATGGGTCACATTTTTCAACTTTTCGTACTTTTGTGATATCGCATCTTCTAAATTGGTAGTTTCCACTTATGCTTTGCCTGTCTTTACAGGTTATCTTTTGCAGGAAACCTCTCTTAATTCTCTGCATTTTCTTGTCTCTTCCTGTAATTTAAATCATGTCTGAAGGCCTGTTCAGTAATATGTTCACACAAATAAGTTAGAGTAGTATTGTAGTAGTTTTCATCTTAATCTAAAGCTTTTAATTTAAGCTCAAGATAAAGTATGGATGATAGAGCTGGAGACTAAAGCGAGCAGCTGTTGCCATCTCAGCTATTTTATCTCAGCCTGCACTTCATGATGCAATGTTGCCCCAGAGGTCGCCAAGCTTGTCAGCCAAAATTGTCGACCCTTTTTTAGCTCAGAAGTTTTGTATGCCACTCATACATCGTTTGATTCTGACCAACACTATGTTGACATACAGTATTTATTAGAAGAGGCAGTGGCCTGGTTTTCCTCTTGAATTAGCCTACTTTGCCTTGCAGGCTCCATCCCACATAAATGACCCTCTTTTTTTTACTTTACTGCAGATGCCTGCAGTGCCTCCCACCCACACAGCACAAAGCCCACGCAAAGTTTTCAACCAGCATGTTGCCAGCCTCTGAGGTAGTATGTATCGGAGGGCTCACTGTGAAGAGCATGCGCTGAAAGCTTTCAGGTGTATGCGTCCAGTGGCTACAGAGTAATCTGAACATAGATGCACCCACTGTGACAACAAGTATGTCTGCCTGGGCAGACATACTTGTTGTCAAGGCAACTTTACAACAAAAAAAACACATACTGTAGGCTGCTTTTTCTGTAATCATTCAGCATGAATATATCACAGTGCACGAAGACATTGTCGATAATACTAGCTGTCTTTTTCGGTAAAAAAACAATAATCTTGTTTTTTCTTCATCCTAATCATTGAAGGACACTGACACAGTCCAAGAAAAACAGGAGATTCAATTTATTTAAGTTCGGGAGCAAATAGGAAACGCGGTTTGATCAGATCTGTGTATATCATCTTTATTGATGTAATTCACTGTTTGAGATATATCCACATAAAACAACACCACGGAGAACACCTATAGAGAGAGCGCAATCTTGGTGCTAGACAACATCATATATATTACATATTTCCCTTAATTTAACATTCAAAAATTCAGTTCGAGGATAAATCACAGGACCCCTGGGTGGGGGCACATCACCAGAGCAGCGAACACACGAGCAAGCAGAATAAAGTCAGTAGCAATCAAATGTTCAATTAATAATTATAGCATTGATCTCTCATTGCTCTGCTGGAGGGCAGTCAGTCACTCTCATATTATTTCCAGACAACCCATTTGGAACAGTCAACACATGGAACCTCATCTCAGAGCACTGGCAAAGATACGAGGCAGCTACAACTGAAACATTCTTCTAATCTAATCTAGTCTGTTTATGATCACTTATGTGCATTCATTGATTTGGACTCTGGATTTCATATTTATACATTTATATCAGATGTATCTGTATTTACATCATGTACATTCTTGTACTTACATGTTCTTATCTCATGCTTTTTGCATGCAAAAACCCTAAAAGATTTTCTGCTAACATTTGTTCTTCTTTTGTACTTTCCAGTGGTCTGAAGACAATGTTTCACATGTTTACAATAAATGTCAATCAATGGTCAGTGGTTTTAGGAAAACAAAGAAAGGGTTGTGACAGCTAGACATTTTTATTAGAATTTACATCCTTTTCTATAAACAGTGAGGTTTATTTCCATTCATATCAAGGAAAGTTGTAAAATCTTACGTAAACACTCCAATATTTAAGTAAACGAATGCAAAATTGCGTTCCATATTTACTACTGTACATCGACTTGCTCTTCTCTTGCAGGTCATGACACCTTTTCAAAATGCCAATGCATTAACTGCTCTACATTGTAATCCATGTACATTCAACAGTCACCGTGACCTGTATCTGATTACCACCGACGTTCTTCTTTCAAATGGTAAAACATAAAGATAAACTCTTTTAGAGTTAAATAAAAGCAAGAATAATATTTAATACATTCAGAGACTATTTCTTTGAAGAGTATTAACATTGTTACAAAGGCTGGTGTTAAGCATTTGACTGGGAAGCTGAAGTCATCATCTGCTGGATAAACACATTCTTCTGGGCTGTTATCTAAGAACAACTCCAAATATGAATACGCTGCATTACATTTTACATTACATTATATTTTCCCCATTTGTTTGTTAAATTATTTTCCTGTGACGACAGCCTCCTGCTTTAAATGTCACATGAAGTGAAAGTAGCTGAGTTTAACGGGGGCTTTCTGCTGGTGGTTACACTGAAACATCTCCCAGAGTTATAAAGGTGTTTTTCACATTCCTCACACCAAATTTTCGCATCATTGGGTTAAATAATGGAACACACCTGTGTCTATTCTGCTTTTTTAACTGTTCTAGCCTTCCCCTTGTGTTTAGGTTTCACAGGGCCTCTGCCAGGTGGCGGTCTGTACCTTCACTTGCTTCTAACCTCACCTGACGGCTGGTTTTTCTGTTCTCTACCCAGGAGTTGTGTATTATTGTACCCCCGGGTGAAGGGTCTACTTGGAGCAGAGACACCACCCTCTTCTTAACCTTGGCGCGGAGGGCACGGCGCAGTTTCTGTCGAGTGAAAGCATAGAGCAGAGGGTGAGACACGGTGGTGCCGTAGGCCAGAGCCAGGAACCAGAGCCGCAGGCTGACCAGGACGTCACTGGGCCCGATGCCCAGGATGAGAACATTGGTCACAGAGAGGGGAGCCCAACATCCCAGAAAGGTTGTGATGATGATGAGGGACATCCGGAACACCCGCCTCTGGCGCTCCCGTCGATCTCGATGCCGTCGAACTGCGCGGCGCAGGGCAATTATTGCTGACACCGAGGCATGGACGCCCATGGATGCAGGGAGGGGAGCGGCCGCTCCCAAATCAGAGGTGACCAGTGGAGCAGCAGAGGACAGGGCAGGGGGGGAGGTAGCTGTTGGGGTTGGGGAAGGGGAAGGGATGAGGGGGGGGTGACTGTGCTGTTTGGTTCCATCGACTGTGCACTGTTCCCCTGTATGGTCCCCGTCATCATTCACTCTAAGCCCTGCCTTCTTCTTATTCTGTCTCTTGTGGCGCCCCTTGAATCGCTGGGTCTTCCTCATGTGGGAGCCAATGCGAATGTTCAAAGCCCTCAGTATTTTGGAGTAGGTAAACAACATGACGGCAACAGTTGTGAAGAAGATAGGTACCTGTAGGATCAGATGGTAATACATACCCAGACTAGTATGGTAACCCTGACCACCAACACACAGGAGGGTCCTGTTACGCCAAGATGGGACCACTGTGGCACCAACACCATGTGGGGACAAAGACAAGGGTGTGACCTGCTTTGCCTCCTCTGTTACCTCTGTACTAGACCACTGCACCTCCAAAAATGGGATAAAAAAAACAGCGACTGAGGTGATCCAGACTCCGGCGAGGAGGAGCGCCGCTCTGCGGGTCGTCAGCAGCCTGTTGGCTGGTCGCACTGATATGTCATAGCGGTCCAGGCTGATAACCAGGATGTTGATGGCTGTGGCGATGCTGGCGAAGGTGACGCACGCCTCGTGAAAGCAGCAGAGCAGGGCTAGGTTTGGTCCCGGGGGCAGCAGCACAACCACCAGTGTGAGGGGCACACACAGAACACAGACCGCCACATCCAGCACGTGCAGGTTGACTGTCACCATGTTGCTCACCGAGTCCACCAAGTTGGACTGAGAGCAGTAGAGCACCAACACAGTCAGGTTGCTGCTAAAACCTAACACAAGCTCCAGCATGAGGAAGGCCGTGAGCGACACCTGGAAGCCCAGCGAGTATGGCATGTGCCATGGCAAGGGACCGCTGGATGACGCCCCTCCTTGCTCTAGATAGACCCCATTCTCCTCAAGGCCGGCTGGCGTCCCAGTCCAGTCCGTGGTGGATATACCTGAGGTGTAGCTGCCAGTCTCCATGACGACCCTTTAGCCCTGGTATATTGTATCTGTCAGACTGCTGATAAGCTCCCATGATGCACCAGGCTGAGCCTCCATGGTGCAGGGATGAAAAACAGCTCGGTGACAGTGCTGGAGAGATGGGAACACAATGCAGACAGTTGAGAAATGCTCTGCAGAAGACAGAATCCAAACACATTATTTTTCTTTATAGAGTGATCTAAGCATAATTTTCGGATAAAAAAAGTCATGACACTGAGACCATAACCTGGGCATGTTTGCGAAAAGATTTCTATCTCATACATATGTAAATGAAGAACACAAGCATCTGTAGACCGAACCAGTCCTGAAGTATGCATCAATCTTTGACTCAATCTGCTGTATCAATACTAATGATTACCAGCTTGTATTTACCGCATCTTGAGATGTGCACAGAAGCGCAAACCACCACAATACACAGTATTAGAGCTTAGGGGATAGGGCAAATCGAATGAAGTAAAGTAATCAGACTCATGGGCAATCAACTGCCCTCAGTGGATCAGCAGAAACAACATCTTCAGCAAGATAAATAAAATAGGCTATGATGTCATCTCTACAAGCTGCAGAAAACCAAACAGATTTTTTTTTTGTGCCCCAGAGGAGAGATTTCTGCTCATTTACTTGAGCATACATCTAGAGTTCTTTTGTGGGACAACTCCACAGAGCACATGCGTATAATAGATACAGTATGATAGAAAGAGTTTAATTATAGCAAACCTATCTTTATTTCAAAAGCTATGAGTACAGCTAACCTTCCTCAACCGACGTATCCATGCTGATGTATGAGCAATCCACACAGATGCTTTTACCTGGAGACAGTCAGAGCATGGAAAGAGAAACCAGGTGGGAAAAGGATCCTTGCTCTCACAACATTAAATGTGATGTTACCTGCTTTTCTTCCATTTTCAAACATTTGGTTTACATGAACAAAGGAAAAAATGTCAAAAGCACTATTTTTGGATGTATAGATAAACCATGCATGTTCCCACACACAATAGCTTTTTTGTGTTCATGTTTGTATATCAGTAATCTGTGGAGGTGTCTGAGTATTTTTAGAATTTTAGAAGAGGAAGGCTAAGCTATTTATGTAGCCATCAATCTACAAACCTTCTTGTTTCCTATGATACACAAACACAAACATCTTAGCCTTCAGCACACATGAACATATTTCCAACATTTAAAAAAAAAATCTGTTTTTTAAAGGTTGTTTTTAGTTGTTATATTGCATCATCACAATGTGATGTAACTACTCTTCCCTCATTTTGTAAGATAGTTCTCCCATTCGTGCTTTAAAAGAATGTCATAGTTTCCAGACAACAATCATTTACAGCATGCAGAAATTCATCTATCCCATACGCATACAGATGCACACACACACACAGTTCTGAGTGTAATGTAGGCCTTCCCTTAGGCCTGAGCTGTCAGCTCTATGGAAGTCAGTGTACAGGCTCCTCTGCCTGACACCGCCTTGCTTCTTTTTACTGGATACAGTCAGGATGTCATTTTGAAAAAGCAGGGAGAGTTTGATTCTATTAATTATATCAAAACTATCTCTGTCTCCAGGGCAGTGTGCTTCTCCTCTGTGGTTACTGGTAATGCATTGGATCCTACTGTGCTGTGACTGGTTGATTTGCTGAAAGATTGTGAAGGGCTGACAAGAGTAAATATAACTTATAAACAATATGAAGTTTTAAAAAACTTACATTATTTGCTCAGCTCAAATGCAAAACTGTCAAACCAAACAGCAACTAATTTACGCACAATTTTTGCCTCTCGAAAACGACTTCATGAGGTTAGAAAAAAAGCACACTTGATTGTCGCCCCCTACAACTTCAACGCATTGGTCAATCATTCCTCAAGATGTCATATTTATTTTCTACTATGGCCACTAGGGGCCGCATATTCTTTAAATGTAGAGGAAAACATTCACCCAAGTCTTCAGTTGAGAAGTAATAACTTACTAAAAAAGAAACAGTTCAAATAAATAGCTCAATGTTCCAGAATGTTGTAGAGCATTAGGTATTAATACGTTTTCAACCTGAAAAACTAATGTGTATCCATTTTACTTGTCTTTTTCTAGTGTAATATTTCCTAGATTCAATCCTTTGTCAGCGGGCTACCTCATGAGAATTTAACTGTATTTGGGTCAACAACCAATCACAGCCGAGCATTTCTGGGACTGAATTAATATACCTGCCCAGCATTGATTGCTAATAGCCATCCGCTCCCACCACCGGTTAGGCACAATATACACCCGTGCGTATAATACATCAGACAGTGATGCTTCCTGGCAGCCCACTCACCTGTAATATAGACAATGATCAGGGCCAATAACATTTCTGCCTCACTGCCCTGCTCATCCTCATAACACTAACCTTATGAGCACTGTTTATATTCACTTAGCAGCTCCATAATTACAATGCTGAATGCTGGCAAATTTCATTTTATTCAACGTCAGTCTTGTTTTTATCATGCATCACTTCGTGTTTCATCTTCCTTGCAGACTAATTACATGCTTATCTATTTTCTCTTATTTCAACGTGGAAGCAAGTAGAAAGAATGGTTTCTTACAAACTTGGTTATGTACAAGGTACAGTCTTGATAAGAAGGAGTTTATTTTGCCATCGCTACATTATCTACTATGGTGGTCAGGTCCTGGGCTTTCTTGATTTTTTTTTTAGCAGTAGTTCATTTTCATTCTGCCTTGCTTTTCAAATATAAAAAAAAGTTGGGTCAGAATTGGAAATTAAAAAATGAACATTGAAATGACAATAAATGCAGCAAGGATTAATTTGTACTTGTAACCGAAACAGATTTAATGTTTTGCCTTAATAACTTACCTTGATTTTTTTTATATTCAACCTTCTTTAAACACAAGCAACACAGAGCTGAGGGTGGATTACCACTAAAACATTAAATGGATTTTAGTGAAAACCTGTATTTGTCTTGACATTTTTAACCTGCTCAGCTATACTGTTTCAATGGAGGTATTCAGAACAGATCTTTCTGTAGTTAGTGTGACTAACAGTTATTTTGTTTATAATCAGCCTATTGAACATATAGAGTATCTCCATTATATAAATATTAAACATAGAGCTGTTACTGGATGACTGGGGCTAAGCAGACAGGTGTGGCAGTGTCTTAGGATCATTTTGGGGGATTTAGGGATGGAATAAAGGGCTCGTAGACTCATAGATTTAAAAGCCTTTATGTAAGAAAAATCTGCATTTTGGGTGAAGTGTTAACTTTGTCTACCCAAAACCAGAACAAATTACACTGACTTGGACCTGTTTACAGGTACTGACTGCACTTCTGTATTCAAATTGTTAGGAGCTGCTGCTCTTCATGTCTGGATGTATTCTTTGACTTTTGTTTAAACTTTAAAGCACTGCCACATCTATAATTAACACAGACTATGGTTTTATTTGAAAAAAGCAAGATAAAAGTCTGTGTGTAAAAGGACTCGCTCAACACGGATTATAGGGCAGAGACCACTCAAATGATTCAAATCAGTTTCTTTTCCTCTGAAGCTGCAAGTGAAGATTTCTCCATCAAACACTTGAGGCATTTGATGACAAACTTACAAGACAGGAGTGCAGGAACACCCATATATCAGACTAGTCACATTTTCAGTGTAGCAGCAAGATATTAGGTTGAGTGATGGACTCATTTTCTCTCCTTTTCTGTTGCCACAGCAACCACGCTACCAGGGACTAGATTAATGAGGGCAAAGGTAGTCTAACATTGACAGTGAGGTCCGTTGTGACAGCGTTCTAGTGACAATGAGAAAGTTGTGTAGTAGACCTTAAACATCCCTCAAATATAAAATCAGATTGAAAAAGAATATTTTCCATGTGGAAAAGACAAGACAGACTTTACAACAAATTGCACAGTGGTGCACCATGATGGATCTGTGGAACTGTGAGTGAAACTGGAAACAAAAGAATATAATGATGAAAGCTTCTGCTATAGATTAAATTAGTAGCATCCACAGCTATTTTCTCTTGGCTGTGGTCTCCATGGGCGTGGTAAAACAGCAGAGCATGGGGGGAAACGCAGGACCCCTGATGGTAATGTCATTAGTGGGAACGTTTTTGTAAAGCTTGATTAGGATAACATTGTTATCAGGATTTTCTTTGTAGTTAAGTTTCTCTTGATGGGAACATAATCAGTGTAGAAGAAGAAGAAGATAAAGAATTAGAAAACTAAGGTGAGGAAAGAAAAAAAAACATGGTGATAGTTTGCATGAGTGCAAGCCACTTTGCGTAACTCATGTTTTGAACTGGTCCGATGGTGACAGTGACATGGGCTTGGAATGACACCTCAGAGAAACAGACATTTTTGGAGAGGCAGCAAATTTTTTATTTAAAAAAGGGCATGCATCACCTGAAAGTAGGCCATCCAAAATGCCTGCTGGTAAGAGATTTTTCAAAAAACTGTCCGAGTGTGGGAAGGAAGTGGAGAGGAACTATGAGCCAGCGGTGCTGGTAAACAACATGTCCCAGGGAGCTCAGGTGGCAGTTTTTTTCCACTCTAAAATCTTACATCAGCCTTCCTTTTAAATGCTGTTGGTTTCCTGGTTGCCGCCAGCCCCCAAAGACTGTCTCGAGTCTCAAAAGACTCGGCTCATGATTGCCTGTGTGAAAGGCTGCATGATTACAGCCCGGGTAGGGCATAGCACACAGGAACGACAGAGAGATATTACCAATCTGAAAACCTCAGCAGCAAAGCAATCTGATGGTAGAGTGATTACACCAGAGCTCTTTATGATACATAGGCCTTCCTGTAGAGATTAATAGCTTGGCTGTGGTTTATGAGTTTATGTAGTTGCCATATTTACAGGAGGGTTGGGGATTTTGTGTGATTCTGTTTTTTGTTGTTCTTGTCGTAAAATTACAGCGCAGTTACACTTTTTCGGTCATGCCACACTTTAATTAAAAGCTCCCTTTCTTCAAGGTTTTTATGTGATAGACACAAGGGTA